CCTCATTCCTGCTCTCTCCTCCTCCTTCTCCCCCTTCCCTTTCTTCTTCTCCTTCTCCTTCCTCCTCCTCCTCATTCCTGCTCTCTTCTTCTTGTCCTCCTCCTTCCCTTTCTTCTCTTTCTTCTCCTTCTTCTTCCTCCTCCTCCTCATTCCTGTTCTCTTCTTCTCCTCCTCCCCCTTCCCTTTCTTCTTCTCCTTCTCCTTCCTCCTCCTCCTCCTCCTCATTCCTGCTCTCTTCTTCTTCTTCTCCTTCTTTTTCCTCCTCCTCCTCCACAAACCCCATTCCGTTCTAGCACTGATGATGTTACCTAGTTGGGTCATGAAACGTCTGCAAGAAAACCACCAAGCTCAGAGAGCACCAAGGACCCTGCAGTCTTCCTCCTCCTCCTCCTCTCTTCCTCCTCCTCCTTCCTCCTCCTCCCCTTTCTCCTTCTTCTTCTCTTCCTCCTCCTTCTTCTTCTTCCTCCTCCTCCACAAACTCCCCTCCCTTCTAGCACTGATAATGTTCCCTAGTTGGGTNTCTCTATCTATCTATCTATTGCTATCTATTTCTATCTATCTATCTATCTATCTATCTATCTATCTATCTATCTATCTATCTATCTATCTATCTATCTATCTATCTATCTAAAAGAGGCTATGTATGAACTAAATGTAAAGATGGTCTATGACAGTGATGGCGATTGTTTTTCTGCTCGGGTGCCAAAAGGGCCCACGCACGCACAATACCACACACACCCATAATGAAATGCCCTCCCACCCGGCACCAGCCTCACTGAAGCCTCCAGACTTCCGGTAGGCCTGTTGGGCCCTTTTTCACCCTCCCCAGGCTTCAGGAAAGCCTCCGGAGCCTGTGGATGGCAGAAAATAGCCCAACAGTTTGTTTCCAAAGCCTGGGGAGGGCAAAAGCGGCCTCCCCCGCCCTGCAGAAGGCTGAAAATCAGCTGGCCAGGACACGGATGCGCGCTGGAGCTGACATAGGGCGACGCCTTGCGTGCCCTCAAGTGTGGCTCTGCATGCCACCTATGGTACACATGCCACAGGTTCGCCATCAGGGGTCTATAATTATAAATACGCCAATATATTTAACAGAATTATAAACCAGCTAATATAAAAAGAAACTTAGGCAAAACCATTTATATTATTACTATTAGTATTGTGTTAATACATTTTCTTCCCCACCCCCACCCCTGTTCTTTTTTTGTAAGTTATATATCCTGACGATACACTGTATTCAAAATGTTCAGGAATAATATAATTTTTTTAAAAGGACAGAAACTCAAGAAGAGCCTCGGCTCTCTGCCCCACGTAGAAACAAAAGGGCTCCGACTTCTAGAAATGCAGATTTGGTCATCCATTCAAGACAGGATTTAAAAACCCAGGAAGGAAGCCAGCATCTAAGATTAATGGCATTTGTTAAACTGAGATTTTTTTTAAAAAAAACAACTCATGGCCGGCCGTCCTGCGACAAACTCATGAAAATCAAATAAAGAAGCAAATCGAGCCTCTAAATTACAAAACAAACTGTGTAGAGCAAACGGTGTAAAAAGCCAGGGGCTCATGAAAACCAGGTGGTCAGCCACGACCCAGAATTACACAGGTGGGCTTGGGGGGGTCCTGCTTTGCCACTAAAAACCTCCCTTCCGAGCAACCTCCGTGTTTCCAGGGTCTTTCTCCTCGCTTGGAACTGAACCGAGATGGACACACGTGTAGGGAAAAACCCCTTCTCTTCCCGGGTAAAAGAGATGGAGAGGGGAAGGGTAAGAGGACACGGCAGGTGGGTCTGTCTCGGGAAGCAGCCACAATTTGGAAATGGAAAAGAAAAAGGGAGGGGGAAATAAGAGGGAAGGGCAGGGAGGGGCACAAGCTGGACTCCCAACGAACTCCATGAGTGCACGTGTGTGTGTGTGTGTGTGTGTGTGTGTGTGTGTGTGAGAGAGAGAGAGAGAGAGAGAGAGAGAGAGAGAGAAACAAAAAGAGAAAGACTAAGAAAATGAAAAAGTAACAGAGAGAAAGAGAGAGAGAGAGAAAAAACTAAGGGAATGAGAGAGAAACAGAGAGAGAGAGAGAGCAAAACAAAAAGAGAGAAAGAGACTAAGAAAATGTAACAGAGTAACAGAGAGAAAGAGAAGGGAGAAAGAGAGAGAGAGAAAAAAAAACTAAGGGAATGAGAGAGAAACAGAGAGAGAGAGAGAGGGAGAGGGAGAAAGAGACAAGAGAGAGAGAGAGAGGTAAAAGAAAGAGATAAGCAAAAGAAAAAACAAGAGAGAGAAAAAGAGAGAAAGAGTTAAGAGAAAAAGCGAGGGAGAAAGACAGAGAGCTAGAAAGAGAAAGAGAGGAAGAAAGGAAGAAAGAGAGAAACTAAGAAACAGAGAAAGATGAGAAAGAGAAAAAGAGAGGGAGAAAGACAAAGAGAGAAAAGGGGAGAAAGAAAGAGAGAAACTGATAAACAGGGAACAATGAGAGAGAGAGAGAAGAAAGTAGGAGAGAAAGAGTAAGGTAGAAAGAGAGAGAGAGAGAGAGAAAAGGGGGAGAAAGAAAGAGAGATAGAAACTAAGAAACACAAGAGAAAGACAAGAAAGAGAGAAAGAGAGAAGAAAGAAAATAAGAGAGGGAGAAAGAGAGAAAAGGGGAGAAAGAGAGAAACAGACAAAGAGGAGAGAGAGAGAGAGAAGAAAGAGTAGGAGAGAAAGAGTGAGGGAGAAAGACAGAGAGAAAGAGAGAGAGAGAAAAGGGGAGAAAGAAAGAGAAACTAAGAAACAGACAGAAAGAAAGACAAGAGAGAGAAAGAATAAAGTGAGAGAAAAAGAGCGAGGAAGAAAGATAGAGAAAGAGAAAGGAAGGGAGGAAAGAAGGAAAGACAGAAAGGGGGAGAGAGAAAGAGAGAAGCCAAGCGTCCTCTTGTCTTTGAACGAGGGGGGGGACCTACCTCCCTGTAGAGCGAGTAGAGGAAGACGATGGTCTGGATGGTCTTGCCGAGGCCCATCTCGTCTGCCAAGATGGTGTCCGTGCTTTGCGCCCAGGAGAAGCGCAGCCAGTTCAGCCCTTCCAGCTGATACATGTGCAGCGTCCCTCCGGTCGACGTGACGAAGCGCGGCTGGCTGTCGTACTTCACCGTGGGCTGCGGGGAGGAAAGGGCACCACCAGGTGGCCCGCTTACAAACCTGAACCCAGAGAGCTGTGCTCCCGCCCCCTTAGTTGCAGCCCTCGACTTACGACCGTCCAGTTAGCGACCGTTCAAAGGGACAACGGCACCGGGGGGAAAAATGACTTGGGCCCGGTTTTTCACACTTAACGACCGTTGCATCCTCCCCTGTGGTCCAAATTCACTTGGCAAAGGACTCATATTTATGACAGTCGCAGTGTCCTTCTGACAAAGGGGGGTGGACCGGATTCGCTTAACAACCATTGGACTCGCTTAACAACGACTGTGATTCACTCAACGGCACGGGCAAGAAAGTGTTGTAAAAGGGAGGCAAAACCCACTTAACAAAGGTCTCCCTTCACGGCAGAAAGGTGGGGCTCCGTCATGGTCGTAAGGCGAGGACTCCCTGCAGGCCCTCCGCCCGACTACCGCACAGGAGCGACTCACGTCGGTGGTGGGGGACGTCGGCGGATCGTCCAATTCCTTCTTTTTTTTCTTGTACTTCCTCGGCTGGACAGGATCTTCCCCCATAATTAATTCCCTGGATCAGGAAGAGAGGGGAAAAATGACCTTAGTTCCCCCCCCACAGAGGCTGCTACTAAGCTGAGCTGACACGGCTAGAATCAGAAGGGACCTCGGAGGTCCTCTAGTCCAACCCCCTGCTCAGGCAGGAGACCGGACCGTTTCAGACAAACGGCCGTCCTGTCTTTCCTTTAAAAGCCTCCATTATGGAGCACCCTCAACCTCTAGTAGCAAGCCGTTCCACTGGTTAATTGTCTTCACTCTTAGGAAATTCCCCCTCGCTTCTAGGTCGCTTCTCTCCTTCATTTAGTTTCCGTCCGTTGTTTCTTGTCCTGCCTTCGGGTGGCTTGGAGAACAGCTTGACTCCTTCTTCTTTGGGGCAGCCCCTCAAATGCTGGGATACTGCTATCCTGTCCCCCCTCGATCCTTATCCTGACGCAGCTCCCCAAACACCACAAACACCCTCGGACGTGAACTCAAAAGATTCCTTTAATTAGGAATCCTGGCAGCTCCGGCAAAGAGTCTCTCTCTCTCTCACCGCAGACTCACAAGTCCGTCCGGCAAGCGGAGACGAATAGTGGTCTGCCACATCTATTCATCCCTGCCCCCTGACTTTGATCTCCAGAGATAGGGTGGGTCTTCGCTAGCAGCAGTGGCTCTTCTGCCCCGAGGACCAGCCCATAGATTTCCACTGTTCTCCTCTCCTCTGTCCTGCTCAAAGTACCAATTTATGAAGAGAGCCATGCTGGCACCTCTGGGAAAACCCGAATCTGGATGCTTCCCGGTTTTCCCCACCTAGTTGAAAGTTCAAGATCCTTGGTACACCCACGTTACACCTATCCTCCGCGAGCTGCACTGGTTACCGATNGATAGATAGATAGATAGATGGATATAATGAGAGAGATAATGATAGACAGACAGACAAGGATAGATGGATGGATGGGAGAAATAGATAGATAGATAGATAGATAGATAGATAGATAGATAGATAGATAGGCAGGGAGGCAGGCAGGCAGGCAGGCAGGCAGACAGGATAGATGGATGGATGGATGGATGAGAGAAATAGATAGATAGATAGATGATAAATCGATGATAGATAGAAAGATAGATACAGAGATAGCTAGCTAGATAGACAGACAGACAGATAGACAGAGATAGATAGATAGATTGATAGATAGATAGATAGATAGATAGATAGATAGATAGATAGATAGATAGATAGATAGATAGATATAGATATTCCTCCCTCCCTCTCTTTCCCCCTCCCTCCCTCCCTTTGGGGTCCTCTTTCCAACCCAAAAGCTCCGTGTCTTCTTCTCATCCTCCCCGCCAGCCTCTTTGAGGCCAAAATGAAAGGCTTCTTGTACAAACCATATTCCTGGGAGAAGCTGGAGGACATCCGCAAGATCTTCTGGTTCTACCACACTCCTGTCTCAGGTCAGTGATGGACAAAGAAAAGGACCTAACATCTGTCTGGGGAACACTAGGATGGAAGTCCGTCCATCTTAAAGCACACAGGCTGGGGAATTCTGGGAGGTGAAGTCCACCCATCAGTTGCCAAGTTTGAGAGACCCTCTTTTAATTATTTCTCTATGGAAACAGCTGCCATTGGAGATTGGGACATACTGGTTGGGGGTCTCCTGCACATTCTCTAGCCATTTTGTACTACACTGTTCATCATCCTGGGCTCCGCCCTCCTCCCTTGTACCTTTTCCCGCAGAGTTCGTTTTTAAGCACTGGAAAGATGATGCTTTCTTCGGGTACCAATTTCTGAACGGAATCAACCCCATCAAAATCCAGAAATGCACCGATATCCCGGACAATTTCCCCGTCACCCAAGAGATGGTGGCGCCAACTTTGGGAAGATCCACCACCCTGCAAGAAGAACTGAAGGTGATCCCTTTCCCGCTGTTGTGGTCTTTTTTATTCGGGGAATAAGATCATCGTCATCTTTTAAAGACCCCGTAATCCCTTGCTGGGTGGAGTCTGGGAAACTAAATGAAGCTAGCAGAGTGTTTACTGGCCGGATGCCGTTCCCTGTCGCCAATATGGAGTTTTTTTTCCGGCAGATATATTCTCATTGTGCCCAGAGAGAGAGAAATATCTGCTTCTATCTAGGATCAAACTCATAGGCTCCTGATTGTGAGGCGAGAGCTCCCCCTGTAGGCCACTGCACAGCTCACTTGCGGACTAAGATGAGTTTATAATATAAATACAAACATATAAAAGAAGATAGCGGGAAAGTAAGGGAGGAAGAAAGGAAAGGAAAAGGGGGAAAAAAGAAAGAAAAGGCCTTGACTTTTGGTGTAGTAGAATAAGATAATAATATCAAACCTCAACTTTTTACTTTTACATCTCTCTCTATATAAAAGCCAAATACCACTCATGCATCATCACAAAATCTCCACAACCGTGAAGCCTACACACTTGAAATTCGACATGTATGTTCCTCTTGGCTTCTAGATGCTCGCTAAGAAAGGATTTGTCGAAATGACCATCAGATCATTAGTATTCCTGATACAGTATTATATTAACATACTCGGATACTAAGGAGTTAGACATTCTACTCCCCCTCCCCACCTGAAAAGAACTCTGTTCCAACTGCCGGTTGCCTTATATTAACATGTTTTGATGCTAAGGAGCCTCCTTACCAGGCATCTAAAACGGGCTGCGTGGAGACGCATGGGAGGGGTGAAGTGGGCATGGCCAGCCAGTTCCTTGCAACTACTCGTTCGGGAAACCAGATGTAAAATTCGCATCCGGTTCTCCCAAACCAGCCAGAACCGGCTGAATCCCAAATAAGAAAAAAAAAATTCTGCCTCTCTTTTTTTTTTATTAACGCCATGGAGGGAGGTGCCCATCCGTTGGTGACCGTTTGAGGTGGATCGTCAGCTCCGGGACTTCCTGAACCGCCTGCTCCCCTCCAATTGCTCATCATTTTTATTTTTCCGTAGAAAGGGACCATCTACCTGGTGAACTACAAGATCCTGGAGGACATCCCCACTATTTTATTAAACAACAAGCAGCAATATATCGCGGCCCCTCTTTGCCTCCTCCATCAGAAAGCCAGCGGAGAAGTTCTCCCCCTGGCTATCCAGGTAAGTCAACCCTTTAAAAGGAAGAAAGAAAAAAAGGACCAATTTGGTAAAGGAGTCCTCGGAAGGACGCCCCAAAGCTTATCCGACCAATAGCGATAAGCCCTGAGACTGATCTACCGCTTCACAGGGCTTCTACAGCCTTCTCTAAGCAGTTTACAGAGTCAGCCCAGTCTCTTCATTTTCCTTCCTTCCTTCCTTCCTCCCTCCCTCCCTCCCTCCCTCCCTTCTTTCCTTCTTTTCCTTTTTCCCCTTCCTTGTGCGAGGACCTGCAGCAAGTGTGAGGGCTGATCATAAATATGAGGACTGGTTATAAGTGCGAGGACTGGTCACAAGTGTGTGGACTGGTCATAAGTGTGAGTACTGGTCATAAGTGTGAGTACCAATCCTAAGTTACCTTTTTAAGGGCTGTTTCAACAGTCACTAAATGAATGAGTGGAAGCCAAGGGCTTCCTGTGAGTCCGATCACTTCTCCGTCCAGGGGAAGAGATCTTCTCCAAGGTTGGAGGTGATGTCCACTCTTGACCATCAAGCGTCCCAACGCACCCCTCTTCCTCCGTGTTTGACCTTAGCTCAGCCAGCATCCCGGTCCTCAAAGTCCCATCTTCCTGCCCACCGACGAGGAGTGGCTCTGGACCTTAGCCAAGACCTGGGTGCGAAACTCCGAGTTCCATACCCACGAGGTGATCGCCCACCTGCTCCGCGGCCACCTGATGTCCGAGATCTTCTCGGTGGCCACTCTGAGGACCCTCCCCATGTGTCACCCCGTGTACAAGGTGAGTTTCATTCCCTTCATCCCCGAGTCAGTCCCTGAATCTGCGAAGAAAGACGAGCTGGAATCGGAGCCGATGGAGATCGAGGTGACGGCGGCTTCGTTGGCTTGGGAGGAAAATGGGGAGGAGCAGGCGAGTCAGGCCAGAGGGACGGTTTGTAGGCAGGGAGGAAATGGGGGGGGACAGGATGACCAAGGGAGGCTAAGCAGTGAACACGAGCAGTGAGACAGAGCTCAGGAAAGGAACAAGGACCACCGCCTCCTGATCCAAGAGTACCGAGAGTGGAGAGAAGACGAGAACAGCGCAGGCTGACCTGACTACTTGGGATGAGAACTCCCCGCTCTTCTTCAACAAGGCACACCCGGGGACTGAGGCTTAAGGAGACTTTGCAGCCGTGGTGCTCACAGCACTGGGGCTGGACTATTTGCAGCCAGAGACAGACGAGCAGGTCCCTCCAATGGTGGTTTAGCTCGAGTAACCATGGTTTCATGCTTGTTTTCTTATCCCCAGCTTCTGATTCCTCACTTGCGCTACTCCATCCACATCAATGTGTTGGCTAGGACTTTCCTGATCAGTCAAGGGGGCACCTTTGATAAGGTAAGAGGACATCCATGGGACCTCTGGGCCAAGCACGATGGGCTTTGTTGGAAAGAAAGCGTCAGTTGATCCTGGGTCCTTGAATTACAACTACAGTAACCCACAATTATTCCAGCTCTGTCATTCTGTTATTCTTTTCCCAGGCCATTGCCACCGGGCGCCGGGGATTAGCGGTGCTTCTCCGAAAAGCCACGGATGATCTGACCTACACCCAGCTCTGCCTCCCGGATGACATCGAAGCCCGGGGAGTGGGCGACCTCCTCCACTACTACTACAGGGACGATGGACTGAAGATCTGGGAAGCCATCAAGAGGTGAAGGAGGCTGGGCCAGAGAGATGAGTAGGGCCTGCCAAGATTTGCCCCCTTGGTGTCCTTCAAGACAGTGGTCACCAACGGGTGGCCTGCGAGAAAATTTTGGTGCTCCGCGGAAAAATTATTCGAATGTTTTATATTGCTCTAAATCAGGGCTCCTCAAATTACGGCCCCTGGGCCGGATACGTGCAATGAACGCTTGTGTTGCTGCAGAGAATTTTGTGTGGGTCGGAGAGGGGCAGAAATTCTGATTTGGGGTCTGCTTCAGCCTCCTGGTGAGGGGCTTTTGGCGAAGGTTGGAGGGAAGTGCCGCTGGTGGCGAAGAGCCGGAGGGCCTCGTTCCAGTGGGACTGCATCATGGCTTGGAACTGGCTGACCATCTCAGCCCTGTGAGCTTCCAGGCACCGGCACCTGGCCTTGCACTCCCGCAGGTCTTCCCTCTGTTTGGAAAGCCCATGCTTCTAGTCCTCAGTGAGGTGCTTCTGCTGAGCCTCCTTCTCGGTCAGATCCAATTTGAACTGAGCTGTTTTGCCAACTCTTTCTCACGGTGGCTGCTTAGCTCCAACAACTGCTTCCTGTTGGGGCTTTAATGAGCCCGGGCGGATAGGCGAGAAGTGGC